TGGATGTAGATCTTCTTTAAATGTCTGATAGAATTCTGCTGTCAATCCATCTGGTCCTGGGCTTTTTTTAGTTGGGAGGTTTTGTATTACTGTTTCAATTTCTTTTTGTATTATGTTAGTCTCTTCTTGGCTTAGTTTTGGTGGTTCCCATGCCTTCAAATACCTGCCCATTTCTTTAAGGTTTTCAAATTTAGGAGCATATAGGTTTTTAAAGTATTCTCTTATAATGTTCTGTATCTTTCTGGTGTCTGTTGTGTTGTTTGCCCTTTCATCTCTGATTTTGTTGATATGGAGGTGTTCTTTCTTTTGGTTAGCTGGGCTCGTGGTATGTCAGTCTTGTTTATCTTTTCAAAGAACCAGTTCTTGGATTCATTGATTCTTTGTATTGTTTTCTTTGTTTCGATTTCATTAATTTCTACCCTGATTTTTGTTATTTCCTCTTGTTATTTCTTCTTGGGTTTTGTTTGCTGTTGCTTTTCAAGTGTGTTGAGCTGCAATGTTAAATCATTTATTTATGTTTTTTCCGATTTTTTGATGTAGGTACTTAGAACTATAAACTTCCCTCTAAGGACCACTTTCATCGTGTCATAGAGGTTTTGTTGTATTGTATTGTCCTTTTCATTTAGTTCCAGGAATACTTTTATTTCTTTCTTAATTTCTCTTTTGACCCATTCATCATTTAGGAGTTTGTTGTTTAATCTTCATGTATTCATGTGGTGATTAGGGCTTCTTCAGGTGTTGATTGTAAGCTTTATTGCATTGTGGTCTAATAGAATGCATGGAATTATTTCAGTCTTTTTGTATTTGTTGAGGTTTGTTTTGTGTCCCAGTATATGTTCAATTTTGACGAATGTTCCATGGGGTGCTGAGTAGAAAGTATGACCTTTGGTGCTTGGGTGGAATACTCGGTAGATGTCTGTTAAGTCCATTTGATATATGTTACTGTTTAATTTAGATGTCTCTCTGTTAACTCTCTGCTCTGTTGACCTATCTAATGGAGACAGTGGGGTATTGAAGTCCCCTACTATTAATGAGTTGGGGGTAATTTGGGTCTTAAAAGTCCTGTAGTATTGTTTTTATGAAGTTGGGTGCACTGGAGTTTGGTGAATATATGTTCATGATTGTAATATCTTCTTGATTTATTGTTCAGAATAAATCTCAATAAATCTGAATTTGATCAGAATAAAGTGGCCCTCTTTATATCTTCTGATTAGTTTTAGTTTAAAGTCTATTTTGTCAGATATTAGAATTGCTATACCTGCTTTTTTCTCAGTACCATTTGCTAGGTATATTTTTTCCATCTTTTCCCTTTAAGATAGTGTCTGTCCTTGAAAGAGAGATGAGTTTCTTGCAGACAACAAAAAATTGGGTTTTGTTTCTTAATCCATTCACCTAGTCTGTGTCTTTTGACTGGGGAGTTTAAGTCCATCAATATTTAAAGTTATTAATGAAAGATGGGTATTGAATCCTGTCATTTTTATTTCTGTTTACATTCTTGATATAGCTATACTCTTCCACAGTTATACCTTCATTGGATTTCTTTCTGCAATCCCTTGTGTATAGTCATTCCTTTCTTCAGCTCTTTGTATTGCTTCCAGAACTCTCTGAAGGGCTGGTTTTGTGGACATGAATTCCTTCAGCCTATTTATGTCATGGAGGATTTTTCTTTCCCCTTTGACTATAATAGACATTTTGGCTGGGTATAGTAATCTGGGTTGGCATCTGTGATCAGTTAAAACTCAGAATACTTTGGTCCAGGCTCTTCTGGCTTTCATAGTTTGCACTGAAAAGTCAGCTGTAATCCTAGTGGGTTTTCCTTTATATGTGACTTGATGTTTCTCTTTTGCAGCTTTCTGTGTTTTCTCTTTGTTTTGTACATGTAGTGTTTTTACTCTGATGTGCCGTGGAGACTTTCTTTTCTGGTCTTATCTGTTTGGTGTTCTATATGCTTCTTGTATTTGTATGGGCATGTCTTTTATTTTGGGAAGTTTTCTCCCATGATACTGTTGAAGACCTGGTCCATGCCATTGTCTTGAGTGTCTTCTCCTTCCTGTTTGCCTATGATTCGTAAGTTTGGTGTCACACAATTCCTGCATATTCCATTCTTGGGATTTCTTAAATTTTTCATAATCTTTGCTTGTGTGGTCTAGTTCATCCACTTTATCTTCCAGTCTTGATACTATGATTTCCATTCCATTCATCCTATTGGTGAGGCTTTCTCCTAATGTTTCTTACTGGCTTACTGAGTGTTTCATTTCCTTCATTTCAGCCTGAGTATTCTTCAGTATTTCTAGCTCTTTTCTGAATTTATTCAGAAGTTTATCCCTTATCTTCCTTCAGTTTTTTGATTTGTTTGTGTGTTCTTTAAATTCACTGAATTTTTTTATCATGTTTATAATTGTTGTTTTGAATTCCGTATCCTGTGTTATCTCGAGGGAGTTTTCATTGTACTCCTCTAGAGGACTATTGGTATTTGGTAGGGATGTGTTATTTTGGTTTTTCTTGTTATTATTTTTTCTCTGATTTTGACATGTGAATTTCTTTTGTAGTTTCTGATTCTTGTGTGAGACTCAAGCCTTCAAGTTTAGGTCTGCTTATTTTTGTAAACTTTATGTGTCTTTGTGGTTTACTTTTTGGGCATGAAAGCTGGTTCGTCTAAGCTTCCACTTCTCTCTTTTGATTTTATATTGGAATGGCCAGATTGCCTTTCTCTTCAGAAGATCCCATAAAGGCCCAAGTCAGATGAGGATCATATGCTCTCAGGCTTTCTCCTAAGGTCTGGATCCCTCCAGAAAAGATTATGGTCTCAGAAATTTGGGGTTTGGACTGGCCTGGGAGCCGGGCCCTGGAAAGATGTTGGTCTAGGGCAGCTGGTGCCTCTACCACCCAGAGATGCAAAGGAAGATGGCGGGGAGAGGCCCCAAAGGCTCCTGGGGAGTGAACTGCGAACTGTGTTGGTCTCGATCCAAAGAATCAGGAAGCAGAAAGGTCATCCCCAGTATCCAGGAAAGAGGCTGGTGGGTTATGCTGCCCAGGGAAGCAGAGGGAGGCGAAGGCGGGACCAGGCCCTGAGGGCTCCAGAGAGAGAGGCTGGAGAGTTGTGCTGACCAGGAAAGCAGAGGGAGGTGATGGTGGAGCCAGGGCCAGAGGGCTCCTGGGGACCCCAGAAGATACTGGGTTGGTCTGGATGCAAAGGATCAGGAAGCAGTGGTTGGTCCCCCAGTGTCTGGGCCGCCAAGACAAGGAATTGCACAGGTCCCAGGCTAGGATGAGAGATGGGCAGGGGAGATGGGAGCTTGAATGAAACTGGGGGATTCAAGGCACGGAGGGCGTGAGCTCGATTTAACCCTGGAGAGAGGCCTGCGGGTTGTGCAGGCCCAGGGAAGCAGTTGGAGATGTGCGAGAATGTAGGTTTTGATTGGAGAAATGAAAAAAAAAAATATAGCAAAAGACAGAGTAAATGAGCGTGCATAGTGTTTGGGGGTTGAATCTCAGGACCTCTACTGCCATCACAACAGAATGCACTGGACTAGGGCAGCTCTGGCCTACTAATGGAAGTAGGGAGTTGCAAAGGCAGCTTTGCCTACCTTGCTGTTTTTCCTGGTATAGTGGGACTGTGTACTTAAACTTATTAAATGAGTTTCGGCTCATTTTTGCATTGTCCTGTTCTTTTCCACAAATCTCCATGATTCCTGACCTTTGAGAGTTGACCCTTTGTTCCTGTACCTTCTTAATTTTGATGGTCACCCTAGGCATTGTAGTTCATTCCACAGCAGCTAACAGCAGCTTTGTTTGATCCATTCTTCTTTCTACCACCCCAGTTGGAAGCTTTTTTTCAAAGACAGTTTCTCACTTCATAGCCCAACCGGCCTGAATTTGTGATCTTGCTGCCCTATCAGTGAGTAAAACCATAGAAATTCCTGTTAATTACACTTGCATTTAAATTCTTCTGACAGAAAGTAATGAGCATTTAGCGGGTGCATGTGACTTAACTAAGAAAGTAGAGGCAGTGTAAGTAGACATTGTAATTTAAAAACCTGTTTGTACAGGGCGTCGTGGCACAGGCCTGTAGTGGGAGGCAGAGGCAGGCAGATCTCTGTTCAAGGCCAGCCTGGTCTACATGGTTCCTGGACAGCTTGGGGTACAGGGAGACCCTGTCTCAAAAAGATAAAAAAAATAAATAAATTGTTTGGTTTACAGCGATCTGTAAATCCAGTTCCAGGGGAAATGACGCCTTCCTCTGGTCTCTGTGGTCACTGGCCCCACATGGTGCATTTACATGCATATAGTCAAAACAGTCATACACATAAAATAAAAATAATATAACAAAAAAAGTTTTAAGGAAACTTGTTTGTAAAAATGAAATTGAATAGTAGCTGAAGAGGGAGTATTTTGTGTGAGAAAGTCGGATATCTAAATACTGAGGGTGAAGCTACCGAAGAGGCCAGAGGGAGTGAGACTTCAGGTACTTTGATGGCTTGACCTTTGAATACTAGCTGTGAGCTTGTAGATATCTCAGTGATAGAGCATAGGCACAAGGTGTTAAATTTAGTTCCCAGTACCATAAAAACATCAGAAATGTGCAGTAGGCATGTGGGAGCTAGTATAAAAACATCCCTAGAGTGGCACTGCAGGTGAGCTGGTGTCACGTTTTATCCAGCAACCTGAAATACAATCTATTATGAAGGATTTTTGTTTTCTGAATAAAAGTCTTGAAAGTATGAATTTATGACTAATTTTATTGTTGCTATGGTTACCTATATGTTACGCTAGTGAAATTATTTTTTAGCTTCAAATTTAATTGGGCAGAACATTTTCTCTAAAGCTTTAGACATTTTTTTCATTTTCAGGGGTATTACAAAAACAATTTCATTGTTCCTTGTATTTGCAGAGCATTTGTGTTTAGTAATGGTACAAAACGACCAAGTATTAAAATTGTAGAAACAAATTTCTGGGTTTAATTTTGTTTCCTTACTGTAAATTTTTCTCTTATTTTTCAGAGTCAAGTAAAGAACAGTTTGCTAGTACAAACATTGCTGAAGAGCTTGTGAAGCTTTTCAAGAAACAAATAGAACATGATAAAAGAGAAATGATTTTTGAAGTTCTTGCTCCATTGGCAGAAAATGGTGAGAAAATAAATATACCTTTAAGTTTTGATCACGTAGAGTTTTTCGGGTTTTTTAAATTGGTAGTTCTTAACTCCAAACCCTTCTTTGTGTTATTAATGATATATTAAGTTTTCATTTTGATATCTCTAACTTTAGGCTGTATTATCTCCTCCATAACTACATTTACATTGTCGAAAGCTGCTTTCCAAGTTTCTTTGATTTTGAAATCTTAGCAAAGATTCTTCTATAGTTAAGACATTTGTGTTTCACTGTAGAACAGGCATGTGAAGGCTGGGGAGACAACTCCATGTTAAAGTCTTTGCCACATAAGCATTAGAATCTGGATTCAGATCCCCAGAACCCATGTCAGAAGTCGAGTGTGGCAGTAAATGCCTATAACCCTAGCGTTATTGGATCCCAGGTGGGAGCGGGCAGATCTCAGAATGCTATTCTTGCTTGCCAAGTCAGTGAGCTCTGGGTTTATAGAGTGGTCCTGTCTGAAATAGGGTGGGGAATGACTGAAGACACCTAGTGTTGACCTGTGCCCTGCAGATATTCTAATGAGTGCACACACACACACACACACACACACACACACACACACAGAATTTTTTAAAAGATAGATGAAGTAAGAGGTTAAGCTCTGCTTCTGAAACCTTACAAGGTAAAAGGGGTTGAAAACTGGGATTTCTAGGCCTGTCAACAATGAAGACACTAGTGAACTACACCTTTGGGTAAAAACATCTCAAAGCATGCACCCAAGAAGGTCAAAGTAAAGCAGAGGAAACAAATCCAATTCTTGTAAATAATTTTAAATATAGTGTCTGGTACATATTCCAAGAGAACCAAACAAATGAGACAACACACTGTTTATAAGAAAAACCAAACAGCCACAAACCTTGATACTAGAATTATTAGACATTGATGTAAAATGTGGATACTGAGGCTAGAAAGATAGCACTTGCCAAGAAAAGTGTTTGCTTTGCAAGCATGGGGACCTAATTTTAAAATCCTAGAACCCATGCAAAGTTGTGTATCTATAATCCCCATGCTCCTGAAGCAGAATGGGAGGCAGTAACCTGGTGTAAACGGCAGTGAACAATGAAAGAAAGACCTATGTCAAAGAAGGTGAAATGCAGGAACCAATACCTGAGGTTGTCTTCTGACATCCACAAGTGTGCCATGCACACCCACACTCACAGACCTGTGCACTCATGCAAAAGGTAAACACAGAGATACTACATTCAAAGAATTAAACGCAAGCTAAAAAAAAAAAAACAAAAAAAACCAGAATGGGGGCTGGAGAGATGGCTCAGCAGTTAAAAACACTGACAGTTCTTAAAGGAGACCCAGGTTCAAATCTCAGCACCCACGTGGCAGCTAACAACTGTCTGTAACTCCAGTCCCAGGGCATCCAACAGCCTCTTCTGACCTCCACAGGCACAGGTACACTTACCTACATGCATGCAATACATGCATATACAAAATAAAATAATAAAAATTTTAAAAATGAATGGAAACTATAGGAAGTATTATAAAAATGCAATAGCAGATTTGAAAAGGAAAGCAAAAATTCCTAAATTGAAAAGTCAATCAAAATTAAGTACTTGATAGCAGGGTTTAACAGCAGATTAGATATAGTTTAATTAGAAAACCAGTAAACTGAGATATAAGTAGGAAGGAAATCCTGAATGAACTATAAAGAAAAAGGATTTACATAAAAGAAGATGAGAGTTTGGAAGGTAAAGTAATTGTCCCTCACATACATATTTTTTTAAGCACCAGAAGAGAGTAGAAATTTGAGGAAGGAATAATGCAAAGACTGTATTTGTTGGTAGAGAACTAATCTGAAATTATAAAGATACCAAACATACAAGAAACACAATGAGCACAAGCCATGACAGATGTCTTAGGCTGTTTATATTTCTATAACTAATTACCACAGGCTGAGTAATTCATAATCAAGGCTTACTCATTACACAGTTTTGAAGCCTAGAGAGTTTAAGACCGGGCATTGAGCTCCTTCTTACTGGTGGGAATCCTCTGTAGAACAGCACATAGCAATACAAAATAGTCCTCTTTTGACAAAGCCGCAGTCCCATAGCCGTGCCATTCTGACCTTTATCATCTCTCAAGACTTCTACCTTCAGATACATAGTCGTATTAAATCTGCACCCTCTTTATATATACCTCACAATGGAAATTAAATTTCAATATGAGTTTTGGTAGGGATAGTCAAATGAGAGAGAGAGAGAGAGAGAGAGAGTTATTTAGTTATACTAAAAATGCAGGAAACTAGTGGCAAAATCTTGGAAGTAACCAGAATAGAACTTTCAAAAGGAGCAAAAGACTGTCTGACAGCTTACTTCTCAACAGTAACAATTAAATCTAGGTGTTCTATGTGCTAAAAGAACTGACAGCCTAGAATTCTTTTTTTATTTTTTAATTTTATTTTATGTATATGAGTGCAGTGCCTCCATGTATGTATGTAAGTACACCTATGTCATTCAATCCCCACGGAGGTCAAAAGAAGGGGTCGGATTCTCCCTGAAACTAGAGTTATGGATGGTTGTTAGCCACCATGTGGGTGTTGGGAGTTGAACCTGGTCCTCTGCAAGAGCAGTCACTGCTCTTAAGCACTTGGTCATCTCTCCAGTCCGTCAACCTAGAATTCTAAATTAATGAAAATACCTTTCAATATTGGGGCAAGAAAAAGATTTCCAGATTAAAAGCTGAGAATATTCAATAGTGCACAGTAACTTAAAGAAGTTATAAATGTATACGGATAGAAGGAAAATTATATAAATGGTGGAGAGAATAAAGATTGACAAGAAAAAATTACCAAGTTATTTATTATAAAGCTTAAAATGCATAATTTAAGTCAGGCATAGTAGCCTGTAATCCTAGCACTCCTGAGGCAGAGGCAAGAGGTTTGCTGTGAGTTCAAGGCCAGTGTGGTGTACATAGCAAATTCTAGGATAGCTAAATGGAGAAGCCCTGACTCAAAAAGACCTTTAAGAAGAAAAATACGCACATAATTGAAAATATACTACAAAATGAAGAGATAATCTTTCTAGTAAACAATACTAGAAACATGATAAAAATATTGTTGGAAGCATTGCCTCACCCTGCATCATTTTTAAAATTCTCTTAATAAGTTACCTCAGTATGAAAGTTAAAGCCAGAAAGTTTGTTTTTGTAGCTCTCAAAAAATTTTAATCATAAAAGTATTTAATATTTAGATGCTTCCGTTAAAAGTGAAGCCAGATTTGATAATTTAGGCTTGTAATCGCAACAACTTAAAAAGTCAGGAGAAGCCAGGTGTAGTGGCGCACGCCTTTAATCCCAGCACTCAGGCAGAGGCAGGCGGATCCCTGTGAGTTCAAGGCCAGCCTGGTCTACATAGTGAGTTCCAGGACAGCTGGGGCTACAGGGAGACCCTGTCTCAAAAAGACCAAAAAAATAAAAAATAAAAGTCAGGAGAACTGTCACGAGTTCAAGGTCAGCTGGAGCTCCATAGTGAACACATGGAGAATACCAGCTCAGCCAGGGCTAGATAGTAAGACCCTGTCTTTTTTTAAAAAAGTAACTGCATAGTAGGTGAGAGACCATTTTTTATCATATATATAAAATCAACAGAGGGACAGAGAGAGGGTTCATGTATACAGTATAGAAATTTTCCCACATGTAGAAAACCCAGTGAGAAAATGTGCAAAAGATTTAAGTAGGTAAAAGACGAAATCAAAGTGACTAGTAAACACATGAAAAGACACTGCAACAACCCATATCCACTGAAATTAGAGTGATTAGTAAATCATGGTGTGTTAAAAAAAGGAAAGAAGACAAATACAGTAACCAACACGTCTGACTCTTTGTTTTCATTACTTTTTTAGATATAATCTTGCTATATAACTGATGATCTTATACTCATCGTGTACTCCATGCTGGCTTTGAACCTGATTTCTCTTGCCTTGTGATGCCTCTGGCTCCCAGTTACTAAGACTACAGGGGTGCAACTTGAATCTGGCGCAAATCATATAAGCATAGTATTAAAAGGAAAATTTTAACTGGCCAGATGGCTGATAATTTGAGTTGAATCCCCATACCCACAGGATAGAATGAGAACCAGTTCTTAAAAGTTGTCCTCTGACCTCTACATGGGCTTAAAACCCCCTCAGACAGACAGACACACACACACGCACACTATATTTATACATTTTTTTCTTTTAATTTTTAAATGGAAAATGCAGACACTGAAAAATACATATTATGCTATGTCATTTATATAAAGTTTAGAGAAGGGTAATAAAGGACTGATATAGCTCAGTGCCGAGGATGTCTGAAGCCCTGTAGTCAGTCCCCAGTACCACAGAAATAATGAAAGAACTGACACTGAACCAGTTTTAGGAATGGTTCTTTACTTGGTGAAATAATGAAGTATGGAGGTGATTTACCAGAGTGGCCCTTGGGTATTGATTTGAAAGGTATGAAGGGAGGGACTTGTGATCATAAAGGCGTGTACAGAGGGGCTTCTTGGGGTATTGCAGTATCACTGTGGGCAATTGCTTGTTCTAGGTGGAAGATACAGAGTAATTTTCTTCCAATGATTGCTTGTGACCAGTAGGTATATTTTGTGTACTTTCTGGATTTGTGGTATTGGGTTTTTTGGGGGTTTGTTTTGTTTTGTTGTTTATGGGTTTGTTTTTTTGCCCTTTTTAACTTTTAAAAGAAACTTTATTGAGAATTTCATACATGCATCTTAAGGTGTTTTGATCAAATCCATGCCCACTCTCTCCCCTCCAACACCTCCCATATTTCCCCATTACTTTTTTCTAACAACTTTGTGTATTATTTCTTTTTTTCTTCCTTTCTCTCTCTTTTTCTTTTCTTTTCTCTCTTTCTCTCTCTCTTTCTTTTTAAATGGGTCTTTTTGCTACTCTAACATTACCCTTCTAAAGAGGTAACCCTAAAGTCTTTTAGGGATTAGATAAGGGCTCCCAAATCCCTTTGTCATTTTGGCCTTTGGAAAAGAGTATGTTGCTAAGAGGCCCAAGGACATTTTGACTTTTAGCCAAGAAACTGGCTCCTTTCCTTTGAGGTCTTTTTCACCCTAACTGCCTAGCCAGTTCCTACCTCCTATTCTTATCACACCATACTCTGAAGAGGTTACCCAAATTGCAGATAGGGAATTGGGACACAGACCCCTCTGGCTTCTTCCACGCTGAACAGGGACGCAGGGTGAAGCAATTGGGGTACCCCTTCAGTGGGTCTATCTAAAAGACCCCCAAATTGCATAACTCTTATCTGCAGGGGGGAAAGAAAATCCTTGACTGATGAATAGGGGATTTGAAGAAGTAAAGGCAAGAGTAGTTAGCATTACAAGTTCTAGACAGAGAACCAGAAAAAAGTCAGAACAGGGCAAATTTCAAATATTCATATGAGAGTCCATTAGAATTTCTTGACAGGGGCTTCCAAAAGCATCCCTCTATTGGGTTCCTCCTCATTCAGGATTTGCTTTCAGGTATTTTGATAGCTGTTAGAATAGTTAGAATTAGTGTCAGTTCCCTCTCAAAGACTTCTAGATAGGGGCCAAAAACAAATTTATCCATCATTTTAGAACAATAGCTGGTTGTCTCCCTTAGCTACAGGTGGGCACTACAGTATTGCAGACCAAGATTTGAAGTCTTATATCTGAGCAGCACTTTCTGATTAGGAACAAAATCATCAATGAGAAATAATTGTCTAAATAACTTTTTATATGGACTTAAGCCTAATGTTTGGGAAGTGTAATCCCCTGAACTCTTAAAGAAATAAACTGATGACTTTAATCTTTGGTTATACTTTCCTTTTGGGTGTTTAAGACCATACAGCTGGCCCAAATAAATCAATTTATGTTTATACTTAAGGTCATTTGAGGATCTGGTCCTCAGGGGTCACATGGGCTTCGGAGGAGCCCCTGGCTCCTTTCTTTTACCAGTTTCATCTATGTGAAGATAAGTCAAAGGTCCTGCTTGACCATATCTGGCTTCACTTGGAAGCATAGATGAGATGTTTCCTCTGAGTTGATCCTTCTCTTTGTAGATTAGACACTGGTTCAAGTCCATCTTGTGAGGTCTCCATGGCCTCCCTGAACAAGAGGACAGGAGACTCACAATTACAGGACATTTTGAAAGATGTTCCATAGTCTCCTGGAATTTGGTTGACCTTGGAGGGCAAGGGGCAAAAACTCACTTTTAAGTCCCTCTGACCAGATGAGTATAGTCCTCAAAGTATGGCTGTTAAACATCCAATAAGGTTTGTTTTTGCCTTTTTAAGAAAGGTTATGTGACCATTAATCTTGATTGCCAAGGTGATTGAGTTGATTGAGAGACACCTAGGATTAAGGTGAACCTCTGGGTGTGTCTGTGGAAACTTTTCCAGAGGATTAACTAAGGGGTTGAAGAATTGCCCTGAATTTGTACAGCAACATTCTACAGGCTGGGGACCTGGATAGAATGAAGGATAGGGATGGAGAACTCCCTAGCCAAGCATTCTCTCTCCCTGCTTCCTTGCTACCATGTGAGCTGTTCTGTTTCATCGCACCTTCCCTGTATGATAGACTGGAACCATGAGCTAAAGTATAACCCTCCTTCTTTCCTCCCTCCCTCTCTTCCTCCGTCCCTTCTTTCCTTCTAAGGTATTTTGTCATAGTGACAAAAATGAATGCAGATTATTTAACACATATGTATATGTTTTATACCTTTGTACACATACATATACAGACAGAATGGGGTTGATAAATGTGCTAGGATGTCTACTTTTTCAAAATGTCTTGCTGATCTTAACTAAGGCAGTTTAAGCTGACTAAATTTGTGATTGCAGTCAAACTGTAAGAAGATCTGTGAACTTTCATGTTCTACATGTCTAAGTGCCTTAAATCTCATTCTTGACAAAGAAACTTGTTTTCTTTTATCTCATTTGATGGTTCTGCAAAATGAAAATGTTATCGTGCTCTCAAAGTTTTATTCCAAAGAATGACCTGTAATCTTACAGAATTTCTGAGCAACAATGTTTTTCTCTATTGTTTTCTACCTTCATCTCTGTTTAATAATTTCACAATGAATGGACTGATACCCCTTTAAGAACGTGTTTCTGAATTCTTTCCATCTGATCTATCTGGTTTTCTTGCTATACAAGAAGAGTAATTGTAACATAGAATATGTTTGTATGGTTCAAGGTTTTAGCATTTCTAAGACTTTAAAATCATGGTTTTCAATTCTAGTTTCCATACATCTTTAGCTCTAGCATTCTGTAACCAAGGAAACATCCTGTTTTAACGTTGGCCCCATACAAGTGTACCTTTTTAAAAGTATTTTTTGTAGTTAAAGATAATATTGAGCTGGGCATGGTGGCACACACCTTTAATCCCAGCACTTGGGAGGCAGAGTCAGGCGGATCTCTGTGAGTTCAAGGCCAGCCTGGTCTACATAGTGAGTTCCAGGACAGCTGGGGCTACAGGGAGACCCTGTCTCAAAAAAAAGACCGAAAAAAAAAAGATAATATTGAAGGGAATATTAATGGTCCTGATAAGTAAAATATTATTATAATAAATAATATATAATATAATTGTATATAATTATTATAAATATGTATGACTACAGTAAATATATTATGTATAATATAATTATATAATAATAATAAAGTATTTTTTGTAGTTAAAGATAATATTCAAAGGAATATTAGTGGTCCTGAATTTGTATGTTGCAGTTTCCTAAGAGAAGAAACCTGAAATTTGTATTCTTTAGCGCCTGTTTCTTCCACATGACAAGCTGAAACTGCTTTTGCTGCATGTGATACAGACACAGCTCAGGAAACCCAATGAGTAAAGTAAAGCACAACTAAGGAGATAACATTAAACTTAAAATTTTTTAACAGGAGATAGATATGGATGCAAATATAAAATCCTTAGCAAGTGACACAATGGAAGAATAAGACTTTAGGCCTGTAAAGCAATTTGGTTTGGGAGTGGAGTCTTCCATATAGAAGTCAGTTTTTAAAATGTAACTAGAACACAAATTATGTTTCTGAAATACCGTATTTTATTGGTTAAACATCAGAAAACTTTTTTTCCTTTCAACTTTATTATGAGCATGTTTAAAACATCTTAGTAAATAGAACTTAGTATAATGAACCACCATGGATCCATGCTCAAAGAAAGCTTTAAATTAATGAAACTTGAGGCTTTATTTTTAAAAACATGACTTCTAAAGTTATAAACAATACCAGGAAATTTTTCTGTATAATGATGACTCTAAATATATATGGGTTAAAATTTACTAATAGTGTCCTTTTAATATATGCATATAACATGTTACATAAAATACACCTACTATGGGTTTTGAATACAAATCTATTAAAAGGACACTATTAGTAAATTTAACATAAGCATGATCTCTAAAGAATAGTAGAGTGGTACTTGTGGCTGTTAGCATTAAGAATTGATTTATTTGGGTACTATAAGACATTGTAAGAGGACAAATAATTTCAAGTGGAAGAATGAAATTGGTTTTATGTATTTAAGCTACACTACCAAATACTTAATCTTAAAACTCAAATGTTTAATGTAGTGTATCTAAATCATGCATAGGCCAGGTTTAAAATGTATTAGTTACAGTTCTTCATAACAGATAGATCACTTAGGTTAGAGGTCCTATGCCATCTAAACTTTTGGTTTTGTTCACATTATTCTTTAGATGCTATTAAACTACAGCTGGTTGAAGCAGGTTTGGTAGAGTGTCTACTAGAGATCGTTCAGCAGAAGGTGGATAGCGACAAAGAGGATGACATTGCTGAGCTTAAAACTGCTTCAGATCTGATGGTTCTATTACTTCTTGGAGGTGAGTTATAACTTATGCCACTCAGAAAATATAGTTATCAGAGTTTTAAAAATGTATGGTCTGGAGCCGGGCGTGGTAGTGCATGTGTTTAATCCCAGCAGGCAGATGCAGGCCTCTGTGAGTTCAAGGCCAGCTGTCTACATAGGGAGTTCAAGGCCAGCTCCAGCTACAGGGAGTAAAAAAAAAAAAAAAAAAAAAAAAAAAAAAAAAAAGCATTGCCTCTTTTATAAACGCTATACTAGGCATTTTTTTATTTCCTAGCTCACTTGCTGTTGATATGATAATTTTTAAATCTTACACATACGACAAAAAGAACAAGGAGATGGCAAACCTAAGAAAGGGAAGCCTTTGCTGTCTTCCAGGATCTGAACACCTGATCCACAGAAGAGCAGCTATGACCCCGAGGGACTAAAGCTGAGTAGTACTCGAACTTGCACTACACAATTTCTAGACTTTGTCGTCTAATTTCTTCTAAAGCCTGTTTAGTCTTTCCATTTATGAACTGGATACTCTGTGAGGAGTCTCCTTTACTAGTTGGTTGTCCACTTTGGAATGTGAATTTGTTGCTCCTGATTATATTTCTCTTACTGTCTCCTTATTTTGTTTCCCTCCAGATGAATCCATGCAGAAACTTTTTGAAGGAGGAAAAGGCAGTGTGTTCCAAAGGGTACTTTCCTGGATTCCATCAAATAACCACCAGCTACAGCTTGCTGGGGCATTGGCAATTGCAAACTTTGCCAGGAATGGTATGCATATTCGTTCTTCCTTTATAAATAAAGCATTTTGTGTTTTTTAAATTTCTGCTTTTCTATCATATATTGTTATATGTGATGAAAAAGTGTGAGGAAATATGTGTAATAAAAAGTATGTGATGAAAGTATAACTTAAGAAATTTTTGTGTGCAGTTTTATTTCTTTAGAAGTCTGAATTACTTGTAGTGACTTTGCTAACAAGTTATACATTTTATGTAATTACTTAAATTTTGAGGTGTAAAGATTATGAACAGAAATCATGAAGTGATTTTGAATTTTTTTTTCTTTAATTTTATGTGTATGAGTGTATTGCCTGCACGTATGTGAGTGCACCCATGTTGTGCAATGCTGTGGAGGTCAGAAGAGGGCTTCAGATTCCCCTAGAATTGGAGTTAAGGACAGTTCGTAGCTACCATGTGGGTGCTGGGACTCAAATCCGGGTCCTCTGCAAGAGCAGTCAGTTCTCTTAATCACTGAGCCATCTATCCAGCCCCGATTTTGAATATTTTATACTTCAAGTTTAGTGAACTTAAGCATATACATCTGATGTGGGAGGATATGTTTTGTGCCTGGTGATGTTATTTTGGCTTTAATAATCTTAGTATTCATTTTAAGGCTATCAGGTTGTACTCTTAAGTCCATGAAACTTATACATGAGTAATCCTATATGTGTACTACATTTAGTTTAATAATATTTCAAAGGCACCAGACTTCTGTGTGCTTATAAAATCTGATACTCTTGTTTTTTTAATCTAGAAATGCTTACTATGTCTAGGAAATATGAACTATATTTCTTTCTAGTTTGTTTTATTCCAATGTGAATTATTGGTATATGATGCAGGTTGAGTGTCCCTTGATCCAATATGCTTAAAACCTAAAGTATTTTTTAGATTTTGAATTTTCTCAGAGTTGGGACTATTTTGATAGGCATGAGGGGATATCTTGGTCAGAAAGTCTAGGCCTAAGCATGGAACTTACTCTGTGTTTTCTGTACACTTTATATAAATAGCCTGAGAGCACTTTTATAGGATATTCTTAGTGTGTCTTCATTTTGACTAATCATCACATGAAGTCAGTTGTGCAGTTTCTACTTGCAGTACCATGTCAGTGCCACCAAGTTTTCAGAGTTTAGAGCATTTCAGATTCATGGGTTTTGCATTAGGAATGCTCATCCTATATGCTATAATGGCTGAACCCCCTCCCTTATGTTAGAGAGAACTTCTCAGTAATGGCTGACAAAACAATGATTAGGCCTGGGATATACATCAGTAGAGAGTGTTTGTCTACTGTGCCCCAGGTCCTAGATTCAGTTCACAGCAAAGAAAGGTCGGCAAAATATTGATAGTTATTGAAGCTAAATGTGGCGTAAATAATAGCTCTCCTTTAATCCCAGCACTTGGGAGGCAGAGGCAGGCGGATCTCTGTGAGTTCAAGGCCAGCCTGGTCTACGTAGTGAGTTCTGGGCGAGCTGGAGCTACAGGGAGACTCTCTCAAAAAGACCAAAAATAATAATAATAATAATAATAATAGCTCTCTCTGTTTTGTAAATGTTTGAAAATCACTGAACAATAAGCAGCAGTTCTGATAACAAAAGTTAGATTACTGTTACTGTAACATTAGCAGAACATGAGCTACTGGTAGGCGTTTCAAAGGTGTAGTTTCTACTTATATTCTGATGCGCAGTCAGTTGCTTCAGGATTTTTCTGATTTCTAAAATTTTTACTATTTCAAGGATCTGACTCAGGATATGCTAGAACTAAATCTATGCAAAAAAGAGGTGGAATTCATTTTATCTTGTCACAGCTACTTTTCCCAATACAAATGAATGCACAAGGAGCAGTACTGTAAGATATTCATGCACATTTTTATAAAGGAAGAAAATTGCTTCTGTTTTGTTTAGATGGAAATTGTATTCATATGGTAGACAACGGAATTGTAGAAAAACTTATGGATTTACTGGACAGACACGTAGAAGATGGGAACGTGACTGTGCAGCATGCAGCACTAAGTGCCCTCAGGAACCTAGCCATTCCAGGTAAGATGAAACAGCCATGTGAAAACAAAATACATGTTTACTCTGTGGTTATTGGACCTCCCTGCCTGTTAAAACAGGGAAAGAGCTAAGCATGTTGGCACATGCCTTTAATCCCAAGTGCAGAGGCACACCAATTGCTGTGAGGTTGAGGCTAGCCTGATCTATCAAAAAAAAACAAGAGAAAGTTGAGAGTGTGCTTTTTGTAAATACATACCAACATTTTCAGGTTTACTCTACAAATTTTACAAATAAATGCTTGAAATTGGGTTTAAAAGAACTAGCATGATTTTATGTAAGTGCCTATAAACAAACAGGATACTTACATATACTTAATCTCATTTTTAAAATTTGTTTTCAGCCAGGCGTGGTGGTGCACGCCTTTAGTCCCAGAACTTGGGAGGCAGAGGCAGGCAGATCTCTGTGAGTTTGATGCCATCCTCGTCTACATAGTGAGTTCCAGGCTAGCTGGGGCTACAAAGAGACCCTATATCAAAAGACAAAAAAAAGAAAAACAAAAATTGTTTTCTGTTTTTGTTTTGTTTTGCTTTTGAGATAGGCTGTATCCCAGGCTGGCCTCAAATTTGCTGTGTATTTGATAACCTTGATCCTCCCACCTCTGCCTTCCAAGCTCTGGGATTACAGGTGTATACCAGCATACCCAGCAATCTCCTTCTTAATATTTACAGGTGACAGGATTGTTTCTAGACAATATAATAGAAAAATAGAAAATAGGGTCTTAAAGCTCGTAGGAACTAGATGTGTATTGAATAGAATATTTATCCAGAATTTAGCACCATTTTAACCATAGTCTCTTTTTTTCTAGTTGTAAATAAAGCAAAGATGTTATCAGCTGGAGTCACAGAGACAGTTTTGAAATTCCTTAAATCTGAAATGCCACCAGTTCAGTTCAAACTTCTGGGAACATTAAGAATGTTAATAGATGCACAAGGTAAAAGAAATGCTTTTCTAAGTTGGTTTTTGGCATAGTGTTATTGTGTCAGTAATTAAAATAGGATTTGTTTTTCTAGCTTTCTGAATTATGTAATTGTAAAAGTAAATAGCAAATAAAAGTTAGAGACTGATTTTAGAGGTCCATTAATTCTCAGGCTTGTTCTAACCTGTTTTAAATAGAAAATATGTTGTGTATCATTAATACATAAATCCTGTATACATTTATTACCAGTTCCTGAGGGGTTTTGGGTTTTGATATTTCATACCTGTATTTGTCTTACTTTCAAAATCCTGTTTTAGTCGAGTGTTTAAAGATATATTTTGCATTTTTTTCTTTGAAGAAACAGCAATGAAAACCACTCCTAGGAGTGAGCTGTTTTTTGGTTTTGTTGTTGTTTATACTTATTTCTAAATTCTTAACCCTTCTCAATTTTGATTGCTTAGAGTCCTTTTGAAAACCCTTTCTTACAGTCTACCAGAGTTTTAACAGACTGTTAGACTTAACTAAGAGTATGAAATTGTTTATTTTTGTGTTTTTCTGAAGGTCCATAATTTTATAGATAATCTAAATAGCCCATCAGGCAAGGAACGTGTGCAGCACTTGATTTCATAAAATTATTACGCTATGTATTTAGACCCGTAATTTTCCTCCACACATCTAAGTTTATGTTAGCTGATTGCCTATCAGTGATTCAGGCTTTTTCGGTTTGCCTTGTTTCCTATAGCAGAAGCTGCTGAACAACTGGGAAAGAATGCTAAATTGGTAGAGCGTCTGGTGGAATGGTGTGAAGCCAAAGATCATGCTGGCGTGATGGGAGAGTCCAACAGACTGCTCTCTGCTCTCATACGGCACAGTAAATCAAAAGTAAGTTCCCGAGGAAACCATGCACTACCACAAATTAGAGTAGCCCTTGTAAAAGCCAATACCATGGTTAAATATTCGTGTATTATATAAATCACCAGGGCTATCAGAAAATGAAGACTGAGGTTTTTTTATTTTTGAATTACAGTTAAAAGTAATGCTCAGGTAGGAGCTAGAGGATGTAGGGGAAGGGCCTTTTCAGGTACCAATAAATGTACAGAAGCACCAAAACATCAAAAGGGAAACAGCAACTGTAGAGCTAATGTAGAGAGCCCGGGAGGGTTATTGGGGATTAAGGTACATTATACGCCAAGTTAGATTTATGGATTCGTCTCCAGAAAAGTAGGTCTGTCCCCTCCCCTGTCTCCTTGCTGACTAGGGTTGAAATCAGAGACTTGGACATGCTAGGAAAATACCCTATCATTGAACAGCATTGCTAACCCTTTTGCATTTTTATTTTAAGACACAATTTCACTGTTGCCCAGGCTAACCTTGAGAGGCTGGGATTTCAAGCATGTGATGCCCTCCCTGCAGAAGTATGAACTTCTTTAAGGGTTTTACCCCGCAGGGTACCATTACTCGATTTTTATTTAGAAAGACGATGTTAGCATTTAATGGAGGCACAGGGAATAGTTAAAGCAAAAGTATACACGAGAGAGCTGAGTGTGGTGCACGTGCCTTTAATCCCAGTACTTCCCTCGGGAGGCAGAGGCAGGCAGATCTCTGTGAGGTGGAGGCCAGCCTGGGCTACAGAGAGTTCTAGGCTAGCTGGGGCTTTCTCAAAAAGACTAAAAAAAAAAAAATGTATAGTGTGTGTGTGTGTGTACACGCACACGGATAAAAGGTGATGAAAGCTGAATTGAAATTTGGACTTGTTTGAAATTGCTCATATTCAGTCATTTTTTGACACACAAATTTCATTGTTCCAACAATTTGTTTCAATCCATGGTTCTGTTGAATAGTATCATTGAAGATGGAAAGAAGGATTTGACAAAGGTATAGGCAATAGAATCGACAGGACTCAACACGAGGGATGTAGAACAAGGTAATGTTTAAAACAAGTTAGGAGCTTGGCACCAAGTAGGGTTGTGCCATTCATCCAAACAAGACAGAAAGAAGATTCCCTCACTCTTGTATTCCAACCCTTTTCCATATTTTCTGGAGTATTTACCTTTAGTCTTTTACTCTATGAGGTTTCCCACCAACAGTTTAGAGTTTAGGCAAACCATTACTGTGTTAGCTGCATTACATACAACAGCAATATGGTTCTTGCACCTGAACATGGAACTCTAAGGTAAATTCCTATTCCATGTGGTAGTAAGGCCCACAGATATGTGACTAAGACATAGTATACCATCAGTTCAGTGTCAACAGACAAACTTCAGTTGTATATGAGAAAATTCAGAGCCAACATTATTGAAATGCTATCCTACTAAATTGAAATTTGGTCATTAAGGTGTTTAAGAGACACATGGCCCTGTACCGTCATAGATGTTAAAGTATGTAAACACGTACACATACACGTAACGGAAAACACTGGGAATTATATAGGATTGAAATTTTATGTTCACACTATAAGTAGGTTTGCAATTCAGTGAAATGACTATTTTCCCCAAATGTGTCTTTGCTGTGTTTGAGAATAAACTATTAAGCAGCAGTAGAAACCTTAGTTCACAAACTTCATGATCAGCATTTTAAATATATTCATTACATTTTAAATATATTCATTACATGAGTTCCAGGTCAGAATGATTCATTTAAATTTTTTAAAATTAAACACTGACAGTGATCACTCTTTAACAGCAGTTTCCAAAGTATGTTCTGTTAAATAATTTCAAGAAATGTTCTTTTTGTATGCATATACGTTGAAGTAGGATGATCAGATCATTTGCTAGCTACGTTTTTACTTTGTGGAGAAACCGCCACAATTTTCTCCTTAAAAGCTGCACTAATTTTGTTCCCATTAATGGTGTGTGAATATAAATGAAAATTCTCCTTTTCCCCACATCCTTGCCAGCACTTATCATTGCTTGTTTTTGATAGTAATCATTCTAACGCAATGAGATCATACCTCATTTCTTTTGACATGAATTTCTCTCACAACTAATAAAATCATACTTTTTTTTTAACCCGTAAATTTGTTGACCATTTGGATTTGAGAACTATCTATATCTTTTAGCCATTTTAAATTGGGTTATTTGGGGGTGAACTTTTAAACATCTTTACATAGTCTTATTTTGTCATAATGTGTAGAATGCTTTGCCGTCAGTAGGTTTTCTCTTCAGTCTGTAGTTGATCTACTTTGCTATGCAAAAGCTTCTTAGTTCCATTTGACCAGTTTTGCTTTTGTTTCTTATGTTTTTGAGGTTTATTTTGTAAAAAAAAAAAAAAAAAAAAAGAAAAGAAAAAAGAAAAAATTGTGTTGTCTATCTCAGTTTTCATCTGTTTGCCCTCTATTTTCTTTTAGTATTTTTGTAGTTTGGGGAAAGGTGTTTAGGTCTTTGGTCCATTTAGGATTAATTTTATTTATTGATATTGGGTGTAAGAAGCCATTTCAGCCTTTTGCCTGTGAATATACAGTTTTCTTGCTAGCATTTATTGAAGAGGCTATCCTTTTTCCAGTGTATGTTTCTGAAAACTTTGTCAGGAATCAATTGCCTGTAAATGGGGGCGAGGGGGCTTATTTCTGGATATTGCGTTCTGTTCCGTTTGTCTGCTTTTATGCTGTCATCATGCCATTTGATTTACTGTAGCCTTGGACTGTGTATTTTGAAGGTAATGTGTACTTCAAGCTTTGTTTGTTTAGGTCAAGATGGCTATTTGGGGTATTTTTTACTTCCTTATGAGTTTTATGATTTTGTTTGTTTAGCTCTATGAAGAAATCACACAGTCTGTGCCCAGAGACACATTCATATTCATTCTCTCGCTCACTTGCTCTCTCCCCCCACACACGTGACTTCCTCAATATTGTCCTCCATATCACAGGTATCTAGAGATTGATCATGTGTTTAATTCCTTGGAGTTCTCAGATGTGGCCCACAGCTGCTGTTTCATGTTGGATTTAGACTCCCTGTAGACAGGATTTGTGTAGAACCAACAACTCATCAAATGCTTCAAGTGCAACTTAACTTGATTAGATGTGTGAGAACAAGAATCAGCCAGGGCTTAGAGAATAAGGGTTTCTGCTCAGAGACTGCTCTTCTGATGTTTTCAACTCCACTTCGATGAGGTAAATTGTGTTCTTGATGTTGAGTTCATTCAGCATTTCAGTGTGATTGTTGGTGGATATTTTTGGAGCCAAAAGGATTTTCTCTGTCCCTCTCTCCCAAAGCCCTTTGATGGTCTTGCCTATTTGAAGGCCCAGTACTTCATCAGGCTAGCTGTGGGCTGCCAAACCAGTTAGGAAGGGTTTTAGTAACCCAGCCTTTGTCTGACTGTGTAGACAATGGTACCTATTTCCTAAGGATGAAGGGGCCTGTCTGCTAACCACAGGTGTTAGCAATGAGTAAGCAGAAAACAGAATGCTACCTTGTTAATGGCAAATGGTGCTGTTCTTTCAGAATGTGATCTCTAAGGAACTGGATGAGGAGGTGATGAACGGCTACCTGTTAGTGTTAGACTTCATCCTCTGCTTCTTTCTCACCTCATGTTAATATCTGTAAATGGCATTTAAACTGCAACCTGTGGTAAGGCAGCTGCATTGTGGATATAGTATGATGCAATAGCCCTTTGTAGTCCATCTCACTCCATCTCTTCAGTTCTTTGAAAGAAGTATACCAAAATCCAGTGTAACATTTAAGGGCAGCCTTGTGGAGAACAGCTCTACTAGTAGCTCATGCCCCCCTTTGCTTGGAGGTCTACCTCTTGGGGAATTTCCCACTGGTCTTGAAGTAAAGCTCTTGAATTTGGGGTATCTAGTGATTGATGAATGCTGCCCCATTATCTTGAATAGAAAGCATCAAGGGGTCTCTCTGTTTAAGAAGAGCCTTAGTGGGGCGCCATGAACTTCTCGAAGTGTTTCCCAGTCCCATGCTCAGCATTAATGCTCCATTTTCAGGTTTGTCTTCCTCAGTTGAACTTGAAATTTTGTACATTTGGTGTGTTGAGCTGCTTCTGCAGTAGCTTCTGCTGCTCTGTCTGATTGACACTCCCAGGACTGACAAGCCTTTGATCAACCCAGCATAGAGCAGAGGGCATGTACATTTGTGCTGACCTGTGTATTCAACACTGAACATCATATTCCTTAGAAAGTCTCCCTGAGTTCTGTGTTAACATTCAACCCTCCACAGCCTTGGCTGGCTCGCAAGGTCTCATATGCGTAGTCATCTCAGCCATGTGCGTGGCTTCTTGTGCTTATACCATTGGCTGAGTTCATACTTCAACTACAAACAGCAAAAACAGAAAAATGTAAGTTGAATTAACTAAGACTGTAAAATCTCCCACCTATTAAAGTAGGTACTTCACTTCATCCTTTAAGAACAAACATTATTCACTGGTTACCAGTTTTTTAAAAGCTTGTTGAAATAAATGTGTTTAGTCATTTGCTCACTCATCCAACAAACATCAGTTCAGATTCCTAAGCAGGTGTTGATAAAATGTGGAAGATGAAAATTTTCTTTATACGACTCATTGGCTTATCAGCTTGCGGTCCCATAAACTGACGATGTGAAATCTGAGCCTGTTTCAGAATCTTCTTTTGTGCACATTGCTGATGTTAAGGGAAAATTGACTAGAATGCTAAAGAGGGGAAACATGGATTGTTTGCCTTTGACTTATGTGTATTAAAGCTTTTTTTTTTCACTTTATAAAAACTTGAGAACTAAAACTCTAAAATAAAACATTGTTTCAAACTTTATTAAACATGTCTAAAATTTCTAGAGATTTTGCAGACATCTAAGTTTAGATAAACTCAGAGAGGTGTTTCCTGCTGTCTGTCCTGCTGTTTATTTATTGTGAATGAAATGGTTTGAGAGAAGTTAAAGTAATCTCTGTATTTGTTTGGTTTCTCTTTTTAAAGACAGGTCTTCCTTGTAGCCCTAGCTGACCTGGAACTTGCTACATTCCTGGAACCAGGCCAGCCTCCTGTCTCACAGGGATCTGCCTGACTCTTCCTCCCTCCCAAGTGCTAGGAATAAAGGAGTGTGCTACTACACGTAGTAAAATTATTACTTATTTATGATACTCTAGATGAACCTTCTTGCTTTGTGAAATGGTGCTAGTAGCCTTCATTTAAGAAAGAATACCTTGAAATTGGAATATAACTTAGAGTGTGTTCCTGGAGCCCCTTTAGAGCAGGTGGAATAACTGGCTGTGTATGGTACTGTGGATGTCGTGAGTATATGTTTGTGTGCCCCTAGTAGGTTTAGAGCAAGGACCTGGTAGCCAGACCCTGGATTTGAACCTTGGCGTTACCTTAGTCCCTTTCTGATCCTGAGCAAATTCCACTCTTCATTTATGAACTAGATGTAGTATCTAGCTTGTAGTCTCCTGCAGGAACAAAGTGAGCTATATTTGTAAGCTACCCAGCAGTGTCCTATGTAAATGCAGTTGCTTCAGAAGGGTAGCCATCAACATTAGTACCGTCTGTCAGATGCAGTGTTTTCCATCTTTTATTACGTTCTGTCAGTAAAGTCAGCCTCATGGAGAAGTTATTTAGTAACTGTTGAGGTATTTGGAGAGAGTAGACATTTTAAAAAGGGAATACTCAGGTGTGTGCGCTCATTGGACTTACAGACTGTTCATTTCTCTTTATTAACTTCATTCATTCCCTGCTGCTCTGCCATAGTAAACTTTTTTTAATCTATTTGAGACAGGGTCTCCCTGAAGCCCCAGCTGGCCTAGAACTCATTTTGTAGACCAGGTTGGCCTTGAACTCACAGAGATCCTGCCCCAGCCCTGGCATAGTAAACTTTTCATTAAAAGTGGGGAGGGTCAAATGCCAGCCCACAGACCCTCCCTACTACATACACGTTTTGGGGTCAGCTTTATTCATTAAGCTCCTGAAAGTTTCATAAAATGTTTTAGTGATTCTAAGAATTATGTACAAAGATTCAAATAAACTGTGCCTTGTTATCAAGTAGACAGTAAATTAGAAACTTAGAAAAGGTTTAGGGACTGGAGAGATGGCTCACCAAATAAGAGTGCTGGCTATTCTTGCAGAAGACGCAGGTTTGAATCCCAGCACCCACATGACAGCTAACAACTGCGTGTAACTCCAGTTTTAGGGGATCTGACACCCTTTTCTGTCCTCCACGAGCACTGCATGATACGGGTGCACTTAATGTACATGCAAACATAACACTCATATACATAAAATAAAAATAAATCACCGGGCATGGTGGCGCACGCCTTTAATCCCAGCACTCGGGAGGCAGAGGCAGGCAGATCTCTGTGAGTTCAAAGCCAGCCTGGTCTACATAGTGAGTTCCAGGACAGCTGGGGCTACAGGGATACCCTTCTCAAAAAGACGAGACAAAAAAAAAAAAAACAATGAAAAAAAAAGTTTTAAAACATTTTCTTGGGTGGTGAGGTGGTTCTGTGAATAGAGGGGCTCCTGGGCAGGTCTGATGCCCTGGGTTTGATCCCCAGATTCCACAAGGTGCCAAGAAAGAACCAACTCCTGAGAGTTGTCCCCTTAATTTCTACAGGCGATCTCTCTCTCTCTCTCTCTCTCTCTCTCTCTCTCTCTCTCTCTCTCATTTTAAAAAATAGGGAAAGACAATAGGCACCAAAGCACAGATGCCCATAAGAACTCAATTCTTAGGTTCCAGTAATTTGGAATGTGATATTTAGGCTCAAAGCAATATTTTCTATAAATGGTTGTCTTAAAATTTTACATAAGACAGAAGCATGAAGTTTGAAACCTTTTTCGAATAGTTTAGCAAACTAATTAGAGTAGTAGTTACTATTTGTTAGATTTATACATCATTGGATCTTAACTCAGGCTGCTTCTGAAAAGGTCCAGAGCCTACTAGCAAAGTAACTTAAAATATTCTGAAATTGAGACTTTCCAGTAAGTCACAGTTAGTCTAAGAATTACAATATGCTGGGCATGGTGGCATACACCTTCAGTTCCAGCACTCAGGAGGAGAGGCCAGTTTGGTCTATGTAGCAAGTTCCAGGCTAGCCCAGTGCAGCAGGGACACCTTGTCTCTACTTGTGGTGGAATAAACACAAAATGGTTACCAGGAATAAGTGTGACTATTCTTTCATCTATTTTTTGCTAGATACGCTTAGGCACTTTTTAAGTAATAGCTTTGTAATTACTATAGGGGAGATGAATCACCAGTGTCACAGATGAAGTGATTGACAGGAGAGTCTCAGTAGCTTGCTTTGTCACAGTCAGTGCTGGTACCATGATTTACAACTCCAAAGCACTCTGCCTCCTCTGTTGTGTGAGAAAGGACAGAGAATTGTGGCTAAAGTCCTGTCTTTTGGCTATCTTCAGAGAATTGTGGCTAAAGTCAATCTTTTGGCTATCTTCAGAGAATTGTGGCTAAAGTCAGTCTTTTGGCTATCTTAATTTTGTTTTAAATGGAGCTGGAAAGATGGCTCAGGTTAAGAGCACTTGACTGTTTTACAGAGACCTCAAGTTTAGTTCCCAACACCCATGTGGTTTCTAAGAGCCACCTGTAACTCCAATTCCTGGGGATCAGGCGCCCTCTTCTGGCCGTGGCGGGTATTGCAGAGAGGATGCATTTACATGCAAGCAAAAACCCTCATACACTTAAAAAAATAATAATTGAAACCAGGTGTGGTGGCACAGGCCTTTAATCCCAGTACTCAGGAGGCAGTGGCAGGCGGATTTCTGTGAGTTCAAGGCCAGCCTGAGTTCCAGGACAGCTGGGGCTACAGGGAGACCCTGTCTCGAAAAGACCAAAAAAAAAAAAAAAAAAAAAAATTGATTAAAAAAAAATCTTTTATGAAAACATTATAAAGCACCTGGAGAATAGCTGCTTGGTTCCATCATGAACTTCTTTAATTCCAATTTTTATTTCCCTTGTTGATCCTGAGCTGTATGCATTTAGGACAATGGTGCTTTTATTTTTTTGGCTTCATTAGTTCTGAGGCCTCCCAGTTCCTTGATAGGAAGTGGAGTGGTTGTTTCACTTAGGCAGTTTAAGTTGTCATATTCCGATGAATTTATTTAAAGTTAAAAGCTTTTCCTTTTCTCTTGTGAAGAAAAAATTTGTAGTTAAAATATAACGATTCATACAGGACACTGTCAGAAAACCACTCAACAATGAAGCGACTGGTTGTAATACCGTCTCTTTATGTATAGTATTAAAGTTTATAATTCTGTGATATTTATTTTTTGTAGGATGTAATTAAAACCATTATACAGAGTGGTGGCATCAAGCACCTAGTTACCATGGCAACTAGTGAACATGTAATAATGCAGAACGAAGCTCTTGTTGCTTTGGCACTAATAGCAGCTTTAGAATTGGGTAAGTACCTCGCTGACAAACTTATTTTTTCCTATTTTTATCTTGGATGAAAAGAAGCACAAGAGTGGAATGGAAATCAGAACTTTAACTGCAAGTACTTGCCAGTATGTGTACTTATATCTAAATATTTGGAAAACTGGGGCTAGAGAGATGGCTCAGTGGTTAAGAGTACTGACTGCTCTTGCAGAGGACCCAGGTTTGATTCCCAGCACCCACATGGCAGCTAGCACCCATCCTAACTCCAGTTCCAGGGGATCCAATGCCCTCTTCTGATTGATCATTGTATGACATGGGTGCATTTACGTACATGCAAGCAATACATTCAGACCCATAAGATAAATAAAATATTTAAATATATAAAAAACCATGTATAGGTTGCAGTCACAGCTCTTTTCTTGGGTTGTGCTTTGTGTAACATTTTTAAGTCAGTGTTAACTTTTAAGTAGATAAGAAGAGATATGTAAAACATTTTCAGCAGACTTCATAGATAACTGAAACAATATTTGGAATACCATAGCAAGACATGAATCTGGAACTGGGGATGTAGCTCAGTGAGAAGAGTGCTTTCCAAGCATGCACAAGATCCTGAGCCTCCCCATTTTCCCCATTTCTCCCCCTCCCATTTAACTATCCCCCTTTTATACATTTCTCCCTTAGTAACACCTGCCTCGTACTAGTCTCTGCAGTTCCTTCTTTCCCTTTACCTCTCTGGTTACCTTCCATTTTCCTGGTTCCTGCAGTTACATCAGGATATGTACTCACAAAGATTTGGTGCTAGGATCCACAAGTGAGGGAGAGCATACATCTTGTTTTTCTGAATCTGTGTTGCTTCAGTTAGTATAACAGTTTCTAGATCCATCCATTTTACCTGAAAATTTTCATTTTTATCCTTCTTTACTAATGAGTAGAACGCCATTGTGTAAATTACCATATTTTTGTTAACCACTCGTCAATTGAGGGGCACTTAGGTTGCTTCCATCTCTTAGCTATTGTGAAAAGAGCAACAACAAACATGGTTGTACAAGTATCTCTGCAATAGGATGAGTCCTTTGGGTATATGCCAAGGAGTTGGGGTCATATGGTAGGTTCATTTTTAGATTTTTAAGAGTTCTCCAGGCTGCACAAGTATGTAATCTCACCATCGGTAAATGAGCGTTCCCCGCTCTCCATATCCTTACCAGCATTTGGTATCATTTGTTCTCTTAATCTTAGCCAATGGGACTGGGGTAAAATGAAATCTTAAGGTGGTTTAATTTGCATTTTCTTAATTACTAATGATGTTGAATACTATCTAAGGTGTTTCTTAGCCATCTTTATTTCTTCATTTGAGAACTCTCTTTAGATTTTTAGCCCATTTATTTTCTTAATTCTTCGTTTTTTGAGTTCTGTATATATTCTGGGTATTAAACCTCTGTCAGATGTGTCACAGGTAAAGATTTTTTCCCACTCCAGGTTTTTTCTTCACTTCCTTGCTTGTTTTTCTGTACAGAGAGCTTTTTTAGTTTAATTTGGTCCCAGTTACTGATTCTTGACCTTAATATTTGAGCACTTGATGTCCGATTTAGAAAGTCTTTTCCAACCTCTATCTTGTAGGTTACTGCCAGTGCTTTCTTCTAACAGTTTCAGAGTTTCAAGTTTTACATTGAGGTCTTTGATGCATTTGACTTTTGTGCAAGGTGAAAGATATGGATCTGGTTTCAATCTACTGAAGATCCAGTTTTGCCAGCATCATTTGTTGAAGATGCTATCTTCCCTCCATTGTGTGTTCTTGGCACTTTTGTCAAATATTAGGTGGCTGAAATTGACTATACTCGTTTGGGTCTTCATTTATGTTTCATTAATCTGTCTATTTTTGTGCCAGTACCATGCTGCTTTTATGACTAGAGCTCTCTAGTATACTTTGAGATCTGGTATAGTAATCCCCCAGCATTGCTCCTTGTGCTCAGGGTTGCTTTGGCTATCCGGGGTCTTTTGTGCTTCCATACAAATTCAGGGATTTTTATTTTTTCCAATTCTGTGAAGTATACCATGGAGAATTTTATTGGGATTGCATTGAATCTATCTTCTGTTGTCTTCTTCAGTCTCTTTCTTTAAATATTTAAATTTTTTGTTTAAATTGTAGAGATCTTTGATGTTTTTGGTCAGTTTTATTCCAAAAAACATTTTTTTGAGGCTACTGTGAATGGAAGGGTTTCCCTGTACTGTTTCTCTGATTGCTTGTTATTGGTATATAGAAAGGCTACTGGTTTTTGTAGATTAATTTTGTAACCTGCCACTTTACTGAAAGTGTTGAGTTCTAGGAATTTTCTGGTGGAATTTTTGGCGTCTCTTAGATATAGTATATATCATCTGCAAAAAAAGATAATTTGACCTCTTCTAATTTGTACTCCTTTAATTTCCTTCTCTTGTCTTATTGCTCTAGCCAGAGCTTCAAGCACTATATTGAAAAGGAGTGGCAATAGTAGACAGCCTTGTCTGGTTCCTAACTTTGATGGGAATGCTTCCAGTTTTTTCATTTACGATGGTGTTGGCTGTGGGTTTGTTGTATATAGCTTTCATTATGTTGAGGTATGTTCCCTCCATTCCAATTCTCTTTTTAGGATTTTTATTATGAATGCATGCTGAATTTTTTCAAAGGCCTTTTCTGCATCTATTGAAATGACCATGTGATTTTTGTCTTTGAGTCCATTTATATGATTTATAATGTTTATTGACTTACATATATTCAACCATCTCTGCATTTCTGGAATAAAGCCTACTTGATCATGGTGGATGATCTTTTTTGTGTGTCTGTATGCAGTTTGCAAGTATTTAGTTGAGAATTTTTGCACTATGTTCATTAAGGATATGGATCTACAGTTTTCTTTTTTTAGTTGTTTTCTTTACCTGGTTTTGGTATTGGAGTGAGGCTGGCTTCATAGAAGGAATTTGGAAGTTCTCCCTCTGTTTCTATCATTTTGAATAATTTAAGTAGTGTTGGTTGCAGATCTTCATATGTCTGGTAGAATTCTGCTGTAAATCTTTCTGGGTCTGGGCTTTTTTAGTTGGGAGGTTTTGTATTAACTGTTTCAATTTCCTTATATGTTATGGGTCTGTTTAAACTGTTGTCTGTTCTTGGTTTAACTTTGGTGGTTTCCATGATTTTATATATCCATCCATTTTGTTTAGGTTTTCAAATTTAATAAGAGTATAGGTTTTTAAAGTATTCCCTTATAATGTTCCGGATCTTTTGGGTGTCTGTTGTGATATTTCTCCTTTCATCTCTGATTTTGTTGGATTTGCTTTCTTTCTTTTGGTTCACTTAAGCTAAGGGTCTGTCTATCTTGTTTATTAGCTTTTCAGAGAACCAGTTCTTAGGTTCATTTATCCTTTGCATTGTTTCCTTTTTCTCTGTTTCATTAATTTCTGCTCTGATTTTTTGTTATTTCTTCTCATCTTCTGGGTTTAGGTTTCATTTTTTCTTGCCTTTCCTGTCTTGAGTTGCAATGTTAAGTCATTTATTTGTTCTCTTTCTGAGTTTTTAAATGTAGGTACATAGAGCTATAAACTTCCCTCTTAGGACTGCTTTTAAAGTGTCCTAGAGGTTTTCTTGTGTTGTAGTGTCCTTTTCATTGAATTCAAGAATACGTTATTTCTCCTTTAACCCGCTCATCATTCAGGAGTGTGTTATTTAGTCTCCATGAATTCATGTAGTTATTAGGGCTTCTTCTGCCAGTGTTAATTTTAAGCTTTATTGCATTGTGGTCTACTAGAATATATAGATTTCATTTTTTTTTTATTTTTTATTTGTTGAAGTTTGTTTTGTGGCCTGGTATGTGGTCAGTTTTTTGAGAAAGATCCATGGGCTGCCGAATAGAAAATATATTCTTTGATGCTTGGGTGAAATACTCAGATGTCTGTTAGGTCCATTTGATGTATAGTATCATTTAATTCAGATGTCTGTTTATTCTTTGTTCAGTTGACCTGTCTAGTGGAGACAGTGGGGTATTGAAGGCCCCTATTATTACTGATTTGTAGTTAATCTATGTCTTAACATCTTGTAGTGTTGTTATGAATTTGGGTGTACCAGAGTTTGGTGCATGTATGTTCATGATTGTAATGTCCTGTAATTGTTCCTTTGATCAGAATGAAGTGACCCTCTTTATCTCTTCTGATTAGTTTTAGTTTGAAGTCCATTTTGTCAGATATTAGAATTGCATCCCCTGCTTGTTTCTTAGTGCCATTTGCTTGGAATATTCTTTTCCATCCTTTCACTTTAAGGTGGTGCCTGTCCTTAAAGGTGAGGTGGGTTTCTTGCAGACAGCAAAAAGATGGATTTTGTTTCTTAATCCATTCACTTAACCTGTGTCTTCTGACTTGGAAGTTCAGTCCATTGATATTTAAAGTTATTATTGAAAGATGTATATTTTTTGCCATCATTTTGATTGCTGTTTGTGTTCTTTGTCTAATTTTGTGTTTCCTCAGTTATATTTATTTTCTTTTGTTGCCCCTGAGGTATAGTTGTTTCTCTCTCTACTTTCTGTATTGCTTCACGTATTCTTTGAAGAGCTGGTTTCATGGATATATATTCTTTCAGGCTATTCATGTCATGGAAGATTTTTCTTTCCCCCTTAACTATTATAGACATTTTTGCTGGGTAAAGTATTCTGGCCTGGCATCTATTGTCATTTAGAACTGGAAGTACCTTGGTCCAGGCTTTTCTGGCTTTCATAGTTTGCACTGATAAGCCAGCTGTAATTCTGTTCAGCTTTCCTTTGTGTGTGACTTGTTTTTCTTTTGCTGCTTTCAGTATTCTCTCTTTGTTCTGTACATTTAATGTTTTTACTATCGTATGCCAGGGGGAGTTTCTTTTCTGGTCCTGTCTATTTAGTGTTCTATGTGCTTCTTGTATTTGTATGGGGATGTCTTTCCTTAATTTTGGGAAATTCTCCTCTACAATCCTATTTAAGATCTGGTCAATACCATTAACCTGAGATTCTTCTCTTTCCTCTGTGCCTATGATATGTAGATTTGGTCTTTCCATGGTATCCCACATATCCTGCATATTCCATTCCTGCATTTAAAAATTTTTTTACATAATCTTTTCTTGAGCAGTCCAGTTCAAGTTTATCCTCTAGTGTTAATATTCTGCTTTCCATTTCATTCAGTGAGGCTTTCTCCTATTGTTTCAAATTGGCTTATTGAATGTTTCCCTTCTTCATTTCAGCCTGAGTTTTCTTCAGTGTTTCTATCTCTTTCATGAATTCAGCCAGAAGTTTATCCCTGTCTTTTAGTTCTTTGATTTGTTTGTGTGTGTTTTAAATTTGTTGAATTCCTTTATCATGTTCACGATTGTTCTTTTAAATTGTGTGTCCTGGGTTATCTCTAGGGGCTTCTCCTTGTAGAACTCTTTTACAGTACTGGTAGAGTTTGGTGGGAACATGCTCTTTTGGTTTTCCATATTATTTTTCCATTGTGATTTTGGCTTTTGGATTTCTTTTGTTGTTTGTGATTCTGGTCTGAAAATCAAGCCTTTCTTTGTTGATCTGCTTCTGTTTGTATTATTGGTGTGCCTTGGATGTTTTCTTATTGGGTATATAAAGCTGGTTGGTCTATATTTCAGGTTCTCGCAGATATTATTTTGCAGGGAACTGATGGCTTCAGATTAGCTACTCAAGAGCTCCCACAGAGGCCCAAGACAGGCTCCAAATAGGTAACGCTCAGGCTTCCTTCTAACATTTGGATCCCTACTAGTGGGCACTCACAGTACAATTTGGGAAGTTTGCTATGGGGAGGCCCGATTTTGGCACACTCAGGCAGCCTGCTAAGGTCTCAGCCCCTACTGTTGTGCAAAGAGGTCCAGCCCTGGCAAAGTGGGAGGGGCCTCAGGTGGTCACTCTTAGGGAGTTGGGCACAGCCTGATTTGGGGAGGCTCATCACCACTGGAAGGCTGGATCCAGGCACTCTCAGGCTGTCTGCCCTCAAAGTTCTCAGCCTCTAGTATAGGGCAGAGAGATATACCCCTGGTGAAGTGGGACAGTCTTCGTATCGTTCTGATTAGGGGTTTGGGCATGGAGCAATTTGGGGAAGCTCACCACCATATGGAGGCTGGATCCAAGCACTCAGTCTGCTGAGGTCTCAGCCCCTATACTGAATCCAGGAAGCTGGATCCAGGCGTTCTCAGGCTGTCTGCTAGGGTCTCAGTCCCATGTATTCATGTTTTTATTATTCTGTAATGTTTTGGCTCCTTGAGCTGAAGATAGCAAAATAAGTTCATTCTGTCTTTTCAAATGCATAGAATGCTTTGAAAACCATATTTCCCTAGTCTTGTCTCCTTACAGGATATTTTGTTATCATTATCATTGTAAATTTTTATATGGTAGTATTAAGACAGCATTTTTAAGCATATACAGCTTTTTTTAACGTGTATGAGTATATTGCCCGCATGTGTGTAAGTGCATCCGTGTCGTGCAGTGCCCTTGGAGGTCAGAAGGTGGCGTCGGATTCCTCCAGAACTGGTGTTATGGATGGTTGTTAGCCACCATGTGGGTGTTGGGAATTGAATTGGGTCCTCTGCAAGAGCAGCCGGTACTCTTAACCACTGAGCCATCTCTCCAGCCTGAATATACAGCTTTTTAAAGAATACAGATTCATTTCAGTTGTAAGAAGTAATACAGAGTCATTTATAGCCATGTTCACCTTCCTCCAGCACTCATCTCCATTATACCCTGACCCCTGGAAACCACTAATGTACCTTTGAAATGGCCATTTCACAGTCTCACTAGCATTGCAGGAGTGATACAGTTTTTGCTGCATCTTTACCACATTTGTGCTTATTATTTTCAGTTTAGCCATTTTGACAGCTAGCTCTGTTGTCTCTGTATGATTTGAATCATTGTTTCTTTAATGGCCAAGGATAATGAGCCTCTTCTCATATGCTTGTTTGATATCTATATATATTTTCCTTAGAATTTCTATTTACAATTTTTTCCCATTTACTTTTTTTAAATTACTGAGTTGAGGATTTGTCTGTATTGAGACATGGTCTCATGTATACTAGGCTAGCCTCAAACTCACTGTGTAGCTGAGGATAGCTGTGGACTCCTGATTCTCCTGCCTCTACCTTCTGAGTGCCGTAACACCCATTGTTTGTGCTGCTTGATACTGAATCCAGGGCTTCATGCATGCTAGGCAAGCATTCTAATAAGCTATATCCCCAGCCCTGGGAGTGTCTTGTGCTAGAAAGCTTTGTAATACTTTGGGGGCTGGAGAGATGATCTGCTCAGCTCTTCTGATGATTGACATGCAGTACTAGCATTGACTAGCAGTAAGATATTTGTGCAATTGACTTGTTTCCCTAATAAGAGACAGTTAAAAGGACCCAGGCAGCCTGGGTCCATTTATGGAAGAAGCTTGCTGACATGTATTTCTAACACTAGTCAGGAATTCGGTGGAACCAGCTTGAATCAGTGGCAGAGCAGCTGTAGTAGTTACTCTTCTGTTGCTGAACTAAAACACTATGACCAAGGCAGCTTATAAAAGGAGGAGTTTGCTTGGCTTACAGTTCCAGAGGGATGAGAGTCCATCATGGTTTGGGAGGCATAGTGGCAGCCAGAACAGAAAGCTCGTATCTTCAAGCACCCTCAAGAAGAAAGCACAAAACTGGAAATGGGGCAAGGCTCTGAACTTTCAGTGTTGTATCCAGTCACATGCTTCCTCCAGCAAGGCTGCACCTCCTAAATCTCTGCAAACAGCACCATCAACACCACTAACAGGGAACCAAATGCACAAGTACTTGGAGCCCATGGGGAACATGTTCATTCAAACCGCCATAGCGGCCTAAGTCCTTCTCTTAACCATTTTCATCCTGACAGAGCTTTTCTTCTATCCAGAATTCTATTTCTCTTCTCCATGCCCCACTCTTTTCATAGAGAATGAGTATTATCAGTGCATTTTGGGAGGTTCCCTGTGGTTGTATAGATGAGGAAACAATGTTTAACCTGATGGCAGTACATTCACACAGTTGATTTGACTTATACTTTGTTTCATATTCTAGGCACTGCTGAGAAAGATCTAGAAAGTGCTAAGCTTGTACAGATTTTACACAGACTGCTAGCAGATGAGAGAAGTGCCCCTGAAATTAAATATAATTCCATGGTCCTGATCTGTGCTCTCATGGGATCTGGTAAGTGTTTCTTCTGTCAGTTAATGCTATCAACATATGGCCAACATCAAGAATTAAATTTGCAGTAGTAGAAAATTGTGATTTGTGTTTAAAAAGCAGTCAAAATTAATTTGTGGAGGTTATGGGATTACTTTTACTAAAAATACTTTTTTAATGTATAAATGCAGGTGTCCATGGAGAGCAGAGGGTGTGGGATTCCATGGAGCTGAAATTGCAGGTGGCTGTAAGCCACCAAATGCATCTGCTAGAAACCAAACTCAGTCCCCTTTAAGAGCAGTGCATGCTCTCGGAACACTCTCCAGTCCCCCAGAATTACTTTTAAACTGAAAGTTTTCCCCCCAAAATTTTTACTTTACTAGGAAATATCATATAGCAAATAAAGCAAAAATCAAAATGTGTTTTATTAATGCTAAATGTATTTTTATACCAAGAACAGGTTCTGATTTTATTTGCTGTATTAGCTAAGGAATTTATTAGCGAAATCATTGCTATATCTTGATGTAAGTACGAGTTGGTTGTTTTATTGCTGATTTCCTATTTTATCAATTGTTAAGAAAGAAGTATTGAAGTCCCTTCCCCTATAATGATGCATTCATGTGTTTATCATTTTTCTTAGCATATTTTTCAACTCTGCACATAACTTTAGGACTGCTGCATCTTGATAGATTGGTCCTTCTGTCCCTGGTATTTCCTTGCTCTAAAGTCTATTTTATGTGATGTTAACATAGCTACACATGCTTTCTTTTTAGCAATATTTTCATTACCTTTTTCTTCTCTCTTAGGTTCAGTATGCTGTGTTGATATTTAAGTCTCTGGTAGATAGTATTTAGTAAACGTAGCTTATAATCCACTCTGTCAGTGCCTGCATTTGGTTTACTCATATGATCTACATTTACTGTAATGTCTGATATAATATGGCTTAAGTCTGCAACTTCATTTCTGTTTTCTGCTTGTTCTAATTGTTTTCTTGACTTTCTTTGGGTTGAACATTTTCCTTTTCTCCCTTATAATATTGTTGCCTTAAATATTGCCTCTATGTTCATTTAAAACTAGACTCAATTTCAAATACAGTTCAAAAAACTTTTGAAAAAGAAGGAAAGTATTTATCTACAATTTTAAGTTCTTTGTAGAAAGTCATTCCTTGTCTACTCAGATGACTCCTTAGCTATTCTACGTTATCTGCTGGCAGTAAGTTCAATTTTCCCTCATTTAAGATTGTCTTATTTCCCCTTCGTTCACAAAAAATATTTTCTAAAGTGAAATGATTGTGTTCTTAGTTGGGGTTTTTTTTTTTCTGTACATGAAGAATGTGCCATTTCCTCTTTCATCGTTTCTAATGAGAAATCCACTGCATTCCTGTTTGGTTTTCCCGTGAGGTATGCTACCTTTCAAACTCTTTTACTATCATGTGTTTTGAACCATGGATTTGAGTCTGTCCAATTTGAAGCTTGCTCAGCTGTTTGAATCTATAGGTTTATGTCTCACTAAATTCAGGGCATCTTTAGCCATTACTTCTTCAGGTTTTTTCTCTGTCCTTTTCTTATTCCAGGTCTCTGACAGCACCAACTTGAAATCTTTAGTCATAGTCCTATACGTCCTGGCGCTTTTTTTTTCTTCAATTTATTTTTTTCTCTGTTGTTCAAACTGAGTAATATCTACCATCCTATCCTAAGGTTTTACAGTTATTTCCTCAGATCCCTTTATTCCAGTGTTAAACTTACCAAGTTTTATTTTTCTAAAACAGTTATTTTAGTTGTAAAATTTCCATTTGCTCTTCTTTTGTTGTCTTTCCTAATGAACTTTTTTTTTAAGGTATTCCCGGTGGCAGTTTTTACTTGTACAATATAAAGCATAAGCTTTACTGGCCATTTTTAAGTGTCCAGTTCAGTGGCATTAAGGATACTCACATTGCTACCTAACCACCACCATGTATCTTCAGAGTGTTTTTCATTTTTCCAAACAGACCTGGTGTTCATTAAGCAGTAACTTTCCATCTGTCCCTATCCCTTTGCCTCTGGCTGCCACAATTATATTCTGTCTATAAATTTATTATTCAATGTGTATGAGATGACTAGAGTATTTGTCCTAACGCTAAATAATGTTCCATTGTACATATATACCACATTATTCCCTCCTTGGTATACACTTATCTTACTTCTACCCTTAACTTTTGTGAATGCTACTATAGCAATGGTATAAAAATAGATCTTCATGGGACTGGAGAGATGGCTCAGCAGTTAAAAGCACTGGCTGCTCTTGCAGAGGACTTGGGTTCAATTCCCAGTACTTACACAGCAGCTAACAACCATCTGTAACTCCAGTTCCAGAAGATCCGACACCCTCTACTGAGCTCTGTGGGCATTGCATGACACGGGTGCGCTTACATACATGCAGGCAATACACTCATACACATAAAATAAAAATAGATCTTCAGGGGGCTAGAGAAATGGCTCAGCAGTTGGAAGCGCTGTCTGCTCTTAGGGGAGGACGCAGGTTTGTTTCCCAACACCCACATGGCAGCTAATAACCATAACTCCAGTTCCACGGAATTCCGACACCCTCTTCTCACCTCATATTTTTTTTAAAAATAAATCTTCAACTCCCTGCTTTTATTTTTTTTTGTTTTTGATCCACATTCCCACAGAAATAGCAATGTAGCCTCATGATAATTCTGAGGGGTTTTTTGAGGAGCTGTTACACTGTTTTCTACAATGTCTATCATTTTCTACAGCGTCTTGGCCTTGTGACATTTCCACCAGTAATGCATGTGGGTTTCAGTTTCTCAACACCCTCACACTGATTTTTTTTTCTGTAATACCCACTTGAATGAATATGAGGTGATACCTCATTGTGATTTTGATTGGCCTTCTCTAGTTACTAGTGATGTTGGGGAATCTTCATGTGCTTATTGGAAGTTGTGTTTTATGTGTTTATGTTGATTTATAGGCTTTCTTGATGTGTTCTAGATACCAGTCTATTCTCAGCCATATGATTTACATTTTTCCCACTCCATTGGCTATGTTTTTAAAACTCTATAATATATAAAAGTGTTTTTATTTTGATGAAATCCAATTTGCTCTTTTTTCTTCTTATTGCTTATACTTTTGGTGCCATATCCAAGAATATGGTGCACACCTTTAATCCCAGCACTCGGGAGGCAGAGGCAGGTGGATCTCTGAGTTCGAGGCCAGCCTGATCTACATAGTGAGTTCCAGGCCAGCTGGGTCTACAGGGAGACCCTGTCTCAAAAAGACAAAAGAAAAATCTAAGTTTAGATTTAGATTATTGCTTCATTTTTCAGTTTGTTTGTGGAAGGCAGGGGTTCAACTTCATTCTTTAAATGTGGCAATCCAGTTTCCTCACCACCATTTGTTGAAAAAACTGTCCTCACCCTTGTCAAAGCATCTGACCACATGAGAGGACTTCTTTTGTTCTCTTCATTCCATTCTCTTGGTCTATGTCTATCTCTGTAATAGTACCACATTTGATTGTTATAGTTATATGGGAAGTTCTCAAAGAAGTGGGAAGCCTCCAGTTTTTATTTTTTCAAGATTATTTTGTAGACTTGGGATCTGTTCAAGATAGGAATCTTAGGGTGAATTTTTTTTTCCTACTAAAAACCTTGGTTTTGGTGTTAAATATTGAATATATCAAAATAAACACATCAATGTGGAGTGAGATGTCTCCACAGTAAAGGCACCTCCCACCGAGCCTGATGACCCAAGTTCAGTTCCCTGGGCCCACATGGTAGAAGGAGGAAACCAACTCCCACAGGTTTTCCTCCGACCTCCACACATGCACTTTGGCCTAAGTGTGAACAACCCCACACACATGCACATACATAGGGAAATGGCAGTTTTTTTCAAACAGCAGTTTGAGGACTGCTGCTTATATTGAATATACTAGACCTCATTCTTCCCACTAGTAGATTCTCAGTCATACCAGCCGTCCCATACTTGGCCAAATTAGCATAGAGCATGGAAGGTCAGGAAAAGGGAAGCAGCAACTCTGAAAAGGACGCCAGTACCACGGAAAGTTATTGAAAGTGTGTAAGGTAAAACTTTTCATTTGTCAGAAAATTGGCTTAATAGATGAGGTTTCGGTAAACTATTTAGCTTTTTGTTTGAACTGGTGAAAGAGTTAAGTTGTATATCACCAAATTTTGAGATTGTATTAATGAGCTGGGTTTAATTATAACATTCCCCTCAACAGCTTTAGACTGTAGAACCTAGCATATGTCTTTATAAACAATGCCTTCCTAACAATAACCTTGCTAGACTATTGCTGGGACTTTTACTGAAGAATTCCCAGTTTTACAGTTCTGTCTAGTCAAAATAAATGGTCGGGTGTATTTGGGGTGGTTATATGGAAAGATTAGCACAGTCTAGCAGAAACAAGTGCTATCTTGCTTTTATCTTCCAGAATCTCTACACAAGGAAGTGCAGGATTTGGCCTTTCTAGATGTTGTATCCAAACTTCGCAGTCATGAGAACAAAAGCGTTGCCCAGCAGGCCTCTCTCACAGAGCAGAGACTTACTGTGGAAAGCTGAGGACTGTTCCTCTTGGCACAAGGCATCACCCCAGCTCTGGTTTCCCCTTTGTCCTCCATCCAGCCACTTCTTCAACTTCATTCTCTGCTACATCACTTGTGCATGCGTGTAACGTTGCAATACCAGTTGAACTGCTATAGGTACCTGCCTAATAAGAGTTCTAAACCCATAGTTAATGTGACTGTGACTGTCCAAGCCAGTCTCCACCCATAACTGTTCTTCTGTATACCTGATGCTTGACTACATTAAGTAAAATGTGCATGTTGTAGTCCTCTGATGATGTAGACTTGGTACTACGTATGACTTGCTCCTCACATGCAGTAAACTACATAATAATGTACTGGTAAATTAGAAACAAAGAATGCAGCAAGATCTGTCTAGCTTAAAGATGAAACTGAATAGTAAAAACAGCTCCATTTTTATTTTGGTGTTTGGGAAGCACAGTGATGAAAAAAGCGTGTATGGCTGCTCATTTGTTAGTCTTCTAAATGTCAGCCAATGTACCTAGAGCTGAATAAACCCCAGGGCTCTCCCACTATTTTCTCTATGGTTTCTCGTTTTTCTGAACTACATAGTCTGTTTGCCACAAAGTTAGCAAAACTTCTAAGGTTTCCAATTCTGTGTTTAATTGACAGTGATCTTAGCCCAATGTTGAAACATAGTTTTCAGTGTGATCAGAACTAAGGGGTTGAAGGACCCCTATTACACTACACCACGTTGGGTTTTGCCTGTATTTTAGATTTTGATGCATACATAGTTTCATCTAGAATTTCTTCTATCAGTTAACCAGCATTGCCCAACACTTGTCTTTAAAAGTTACTTGGCATTCATTTCAACTGAGGAAAATTAAGTATAGCCTGTTGGAGAATGGGCCTTTTTTCTGTTTTCATCGTTCGGGTTAAAAGCAAGGCATTTCATCCTTCATACTCCTTCACATATCGTACTAATTCTAATGGTTAGAAGAGGAGACATGAAGAAGTAAGCTTGTCTACACTAAAGAGAGGAAGGCAGGTTTTAAAAGCCATAGTAGCCAGTCCAGTACATACTGCAGATGGCCTCATACCAATCACTGTTAGTTCCTCACCTGCACTTTCCCACTGAGAACTGCAGTAATCTCACAGAAGCCAGGACCCGAGATGAGAAGAGCCTCCTTGGCAAAGTGCACTGTGCTCTTCACTGCCATTAACGACCACCTGAGTTTTTAGAGCTTTGACACACAGTCTTTGTAAATTAATCAGGACATCCCCATGACCACCTGCCTTCTCCTCACACCTACCATTGACCACAGCTAGCCTGTGAGGGAGGGTAGAGTCCTTTACAGGACTGCAGGGCAGTGGGAGAGGCTGCTGAGGAGGTGACAAGTTCCTTCCTCCCCAGCACGAGATACATACACCTCTGTGCATGATCTAAATTGGACTTTTGACTTTCAAATAGCTGTAATTGAAGAAAGTTAAAACCTTGGTGGAAGTAAAAAGCCTTCTAACTATTCCCTTTGATGTCCAAATAGGGAACTATTGTGGGTGATAATGCTACACTTACTGTAAGAATGATCTCATTTATTGTCTTTCTTCTGGGCTGGATAGTGGACTATATTTTGTTAGGTTTTGAAAGACATCTGTAATGTTGCATAGTTGACTGTCCATATTAATAACTTAATAAATAGTATATGAAACTATTATGGTATTACTTGATTTCTTTATTTTATCTGTATTTCCATCTCCAAGAACAGTGTTTTCCCATTGTTAGTACTCATTAAGTGTTGTTAATGAGTGAATTTCTATTCTCATGAAGTTTCTAGACTGCTAGAAAAAACAATTCTAGGTAGACTGACATTTTGAGATTTAGATATTCTTACTTCTAGATATTTAAACACAAATAAAACTTGAACGATGGTTTCCCCTGCCTGGCACTGCAGATTTTGTTGGTCTACAGTCTTGGTGGAAACATTGTCATCCCGTCTGGCCTGATTCATTTAAACTCTGTATGTGTACTACATGTATTTCCCTTATGGCCTTTTCAAATATTCTTAAGAGTTATCACTCCTTCCTCCTTCTCCAATTACAGTGCCCACCCCCCTAATTTTTCTTATTTCCCCCTTGAGTGCTCTTGTGTTGGTCAGAGTAGTCCAAGACACTCCCAAAATAATTCAGGCTATTACTATTACCATTGCCCTTGGTTGCCTCCCAGAACTTACAGTAAGACCCTATTGCTAAAGACACCACAGAGTTCAGACATAAGACTTGGAAAAATCTAGCTAGAACTAACCTGGAAGCTTCCTCCAAAGACTAGCTTCCATAATATCAGAAGATTCTGTGCAATCTGACAGGAGAGAAAACAGTCAATAGTTTTACCCAGCTGGAAAATCTGCAAACTGCAACACTGACCAGCCCATCAAAATATCCCTAATGGTGCAATAGTGGCACTTTTATCTTGGGAACAGCTACCTAACTGGACTTGAGTCCTACTCAATAGGAAGGGATTTATGTCAGATACTATAAATGTAGTCAAACACTCTTGGCTGGAGTGCTCATAGACCCTAGAGGGGAACCTACTACTGCCATTTTCCTAAGCCAATATGATTTCTAACTGTATTCTGCTTGTCCTTCTACTCACAGATAAGGGCAGCTCTCACCACTCATCAAAAAAGCGTCTTTTGCAACAGATGGAGATGATTACAGAGATCCACAACTGGTCAGAATACAGAGTAAATGACCATGAAGTGTCCAGCCCCAGTTGTTATATCTACAACACAACTCCTACACCTGAGGCTCAGGAAACATTACAGAAGAACAGAAAGGTGGTAAGAGCCAGGACGCCTGCTGGTAAACACAGTGTCTTCTAGACATAACAGGGAAGCTGCACCCATGAAATTGCAATATGCTTGCCTAACTGAGGCCTCTATAATGACAACACCAGTTAGTATGCCAGTGTATAGATGTAGGGAATGTCACAAGGTGAAGAGCTACAAGCAGTCAATGGCTGCTGAGAGAGAAAGATCAGTTTTCTTCAGAGAAAAGCTCTCCGATAAGCTATCCAATCTCACTCAACTGGCCAGCCCTAAGCACATGTACATATGAGCAACACTAAGTGAACCCAGGAAGTAGTGTCTGTGTAATTTAAAAAGAAGAGTTCACCAAATTCAGGGCGTGGAAGAGTTGGAGAGGGAGGGAGGGAGGAGAGATGGAAATTGAATACAGCAAGTACTCAAGCATGGAATCCTCAAAATTAAAATAGAAAAGAAAACTAGCATAGAGGGAGCCAGTGAGTGGGCCAGCAAGCAGCATTCCACCATGGTTCCTGCCTCCAGGTTCCTGCCTTGAGTTCCTGTACTAGCTTCCTCCAATGATGGAGTGTCACTTAGAAGTATACAGTGAAATAAACCTTTTCCTCCCGTATTAAAAAAACTTAATAGACTCAGTTCTTACTGAAAAGCATTACATAGAAAACCCCAGATCAGACATTCCAAGGGTCATAGATTTGAGAGAAGTCACCTTCCAAACCAGGGCCCAGCAATCTAGGAGTAGCCCCCATTTCCAGTGAAACCCAGTGCAGTCCACATTACCACTTCTCCAGGAGTAGACCAGAAGCTGTGCACTTAATGACAGGCTGTGTAGTGGAGCATTTCACTTCTGTGCCCAGGCAGTGAAAGAACACAGACTAGACGATCCCTCACCTCCAGCTCATCTCAGTGTTGGTGGTTACCTTTAAATTAGCTGCCCACAAAGGGAATTTTAAGGCAACAATGGGAAAAACAAAGCCTTAATTGCTATCCCATACCAGGACCGGGCTTGAGCGTGACTGAGAAACACAAAGCCAGGAATCCAGAAAGATGATGCCTGAGTGAAATGTACCAGATTATCCTTCCCCTCAGCCCCATCAGTAGCTCAGAGTCTTCTTTACCTTACCCCCTGCCCACACTGTAACCTTGTGCTCAAAGCGAAGTTGATCACGCCAAATCTAATGTGTTCTTTAGAAACATTTCCCTGGAAACATGTTTTGCACATAGTATGATGCAAATGGATATGTGTAACAAAATTTCAAAATGATTTCTTGTTGGGAATGGACTTACAGCTCCATGTGTAGGCAGGCACTCACATGAAGGGTCTGAGAATGCCTCCATGTTAAGAGCTTGGAAGGAGATGCTCTTTGGTATCATTCAGAGGCTTCTCTTAATTCTGTTGAACATCGTGGCTGAAGACATCTAGCTGTTAAGACATTTACTTATGTGAGTATTACTGTGTATCCAGCTGTTACTAGAATCAATAAGCTTAAAAGCCACTCAACTCTAGGGAGCCATAGCATTTCAATCATGTAAATATCTAACAACATAAGGATGTGTGGGGTGAAGCCTCAATTAACAACTAGGAAAATTAAGACATTTTTCACACAGTAGTGTGATTTCAGATCTTTACATATATACATACAAACACATGCTATGTAGCTTTATAAATGTATGTTATACTTGCATATCTGACTGGAATGTTGAGATAACTATTTTAAAAGTGTAAAGTTGGGTGAGCTGGAGAGATGGCTCAGTGGTTAAGAGCACTGGCTGCTCTTGCAGAGGACCCGGGTTCAATTCCCATCTCCTACATGGTTGCTAACAACCGTCCATAACTCCCAATTCTAGGGGATCCGATGCTCTATTCTGCCCTCCAGCGGCATTGCACAACACTGGTGCACTTAACGTACACGCAAGCAACACGGTCATACACATAAAATAATAATAAATAATTTCTTTTTTAAAGTGTAAAGTCAGGCCAGTAGGTGGCTCAGCAGGTAAAGCACTTGCCACGCAAGCTGGACAACCTGAGTTGGATCCCTGGAATCCCCAGTAGAAGAAGAGAATCAGCTCCCAAAGTTTGTCCTTTGGTCTCCACACACATGCCAAGACATTCAACACACACATACACACACACACACACACACACACACACATATACATATACATAGTAATAATAATTTTAAAGTGTAATATAAAGTACATGGTCTTTGGCTACTGTAATGTAGTTATTCTGGCTTTGTTGCATGCTGTCTGTGTGACCATGCCAAGCCAACTTACTTAAAATTCTTGGCTTGTTTTTGCTTCAATATGAGAAGGTTAATTCCTTATCATGACTTTGAGACAAAACTTCTAGAGATTCAAGGTAAGGTTAGATAAAATTGTGATATACTATATGCTAAACTAATGTTGCCCCTCTGCAGTCTTCCCAGCTAAAACAAAAGCTGGGAGCTGGGTGTGGTAGAGTACACCTTTAATCTCAGCACTTGGGGTTGGGGGGCAAGGCCAGCCTGCTCTGCATAGCAAGTTTTAGACCAACCAGAACTATAAAGCGAGACCGTCTTTTTTATTTTTGGTCTTTTTGAGACAGGGTCTCCCTGTAGTCCCAGCTGGCCTGAACTCACAGAGATTCACCTGCCTGGCATGTGACCCTGTCTTTAAAAAATAAAAAAATAAACAAGCAGGGGACTGCCAAAATGGCTTAGCAGGTAAACAGAAACTAAAGACCAAAGTTCAGTTCCCAAAACCCACATGGTAGGAGACAGCTGATTCCTACAAGTTGTCTTCTGGCCTGTGTGTGTGCATGTACATACACACACACACACACACACACACACACACACACACACACATACACACACACACACACACCCTGACAAATAAATGTAAATTTAAAAAAAAAACTGGGCCTGGTTTCACATGCCTGTAATCCCCAGATCTTGGGAGGCTGAGGGACGTGGATTGTGAATTTGAGAATAGCCTGGGTTTACATAGCAAGCTCCAGGCCAGTGTGGACTACAGAGCAAGATAACTGTCTCAAAAGGAAGAAATTCAAATGGCAACCACCATTTGGGAGATAGTATGCTATTAATAGGTTAAAGAGTACTCAATTGCACACAAGCACAATACAGAGACATAACCTCTTGCTTTTTCATAGTAAACCAGGTTAGCCAGGTGTGCACAGCAAGCCTTGTGTATGGGTCCCCAATCCCTACTGCGGCGGTGCTTCCTCTTCTGTCCAAAACCTTTTCAAGTGGGAGCAATAGTAGTAGCTCAGTAATCTGGCTTTACTAATGGTAAAGCCACTGTAAAAGTTGTTTTTCTTTGATATAAAAATAAAACTTAAAAAAACAGCTTTTTAGCTATATTTATAGAATATAGAGATTTTAATCTAACACTTCAAATATGGACAATATTATCTATCTGCTTTATATAACACCAAGTAAGAATTTACATGGGCCAACTCATTTGATATACTAGAATCAATCTATAATTAGACCAAATGTAAACCAGTAGGTCTGGTGCCTGCATGCACCTTGTGCCCTTGCTGCCTCTACTCCTGACTTTCTGACTGACTGATGTTGCGACACTTGCCCAAGAAGCATGCAGAGCCTCCCACGTCATAAGCAAAGCTGAGGACCTGGCCGGAGCTTGAGCAGCATCAGCTTCTTGCAGGTTTGCTCTGATCTCCAGCCTTATCAATGCAGCTTTCAAGGGGTAATAACAGAGCAGGTAGGATGGTTGGCATTAAAGTCAGGGCCCAGGTGGAATTGAATTACCACATGTATCTACCACCGGAAAAGCCCAGAGGCCAGTGTTTTTCCTGACAGACATGCATATACTCAATATGTATAACCACACAGTGAAAACCACATTCTGTATGCGCGAAACCT